TTAATCCAATTCTGTTTTAAATTCAGTGATGGTATTATCATGCCTTTAATTAATGAATTCAGATTGGTGACATCTTAAAACATTTATTCTGAAATTCAATTAATTGTCTAGTATGGCCGTATCTTACATAATTGAGAAGTACATACACACTGCGACAGTAGTCCTATCGATCTGGTCCTGAACATATGTTAATACAAAATTTCTTATGATTCTATTGGTGTAAACAATACATAATTTAACAGTCATGAAAAAAAAAATTAAACAATATTACTGTATAATGAATTTATGATCGTAAATCTTCCTAAAATTACTTTCTGCAAAATTGACTACTGACTTTACAAGTTCTGTTTGAATCGTAGAGGATTAAAATCATGGCATTTAGATGAAGTAATAAATACAAGTTGTAATAACTGGAATTGACCTCAGCAAAGAAATTGAAAGTGTCAAAAAGACTAGAGTTTACAAAATTAAAGTACCAGTACAAGTGTATTGGTTTATGAATGTAATCACAGATCTGACATCATTTCGGTATCACAATTTCCTTCTTCAAAGTGATAGAACAGTTAAATCGAATTGTTACGTGAAGCTCAGGCAATGAAAATAATTTGTGATAAATCCTCACTCCATCGTCCTGTATCATATAATTATGCTGTTCTGACTTTAGCAGTATGTTGTTGTCTTCACATATCTTACCAAATTGATGACATATCTTAAAGTCTTATACTTGAGTGATATGCATGGATGTCACAATTTAAGGATATGTTTCCTCTGTACATCAAGCAATTCTCTACCATTAACTATGTGGATTATAATATTGTCATGTTATATAAGCCAAGTCATTGTATCATCTTACTGTGTCAAAATATGAAAACAGTATACATGGACGATTGGACCAGGAAAGGAATACAATGCATTGGGTGTGCTGACATAACATGGACATGATAGTGTGACATTCAAAGTCCAACCCAGACATAAGCTTTTGCCAAAACTTTATTTTCTGCAAACAGCTGAATGTCAAGCAGAGCAGCAAATACTAATATCTTGATATGGTTTAATCCTGTTTATCCCAAAACTGAAAAAATCTATGTCCTGTTTGTCCCAAAAACATTATGTACACAAATAGGGCAGTGTGTTGTTATAACATTTAAGATACCTGTGTGTGTTGTTTTAACAGGTGAAAAATTTGTCCAAAATTTTATACCGGTAAACTTACACAGGTAAACCGTAAAGCTATTTGAAACATTTTGAAAAAATCAAATACAAATATTATTATAACGTTAACTAATATATATGCATGTATGAATAATTAATATGAATTAAATAAAATAATTTAAATAGGATATTAGAAACAAATGATTTTGTTAAAATATTTGCTGAGTCGCTGTTCTTCCACTACCACCACATCACATCGAGGACTGCTGGTTCAACGCCTTGGAGGACCTTGAAGACTTCGACCTACCCGTAGATACAATCACTGACTACATTACCACCCGATGGATAGAAGGAGGCCGACAAGTTTGGAACCACTGTAACAACGTTGGACACAGGACCACAAACAACTTGGAAGGATGGCATAGCAAACTCAAGAAAAAGATCCCACATGCACATCCAAGCATTTTCATATTCCTCAGAGGATTGAAAGACATTCAAGCTACCAATTACATTAACCGCCTACAACATGCTGCTTGAGGACTGCCTGTGCCAAAGAGACGTTGCTACAGAATGCTAAATGACCGTCTTATCCAACCGAAAACTCTCCTACGAAACAACAACATCAACTACATCAATTACAGAGACAGAACCACATACCTGTTGAACGTGGACTGATTTTGTTTTATTTTGAATTGTGTTAATTTATCGGTTTCATTTATTTCTATAGTTATGTCCTGAACTGTATAGTTGAACATAAAATGTACACTATATCACATCCTTCCAAGTTAAATTTTGTTGAGAGTATAATTGTATAATTATATAAAATGTACATTATATTATAGTGGTATGTAGTGCTAAATTTACCTGTATTTTAAATAAAACTAAGATTAATTGCTGGTTTGTTTTCTTAGCCATTACAGACTTATACATACAAAATCCTGTTTGTCCAAAAAAATATTTTTACCTGATTTTTCAGTTTTGGGACAAACAGGATGACACCCTTGATATCTGCTTGGGCATGTATGATCAGTACTGATTAGTGACTACTCAGACCAAAAACTGGTAGCAGCATTGCAAGGTAAAACATAAGGAAGAAAAAAAAACAGAAATAATATTGACAAAATCAGTCATCTCTCACCATTTATAAAACAGGGACAGTGCTATTCAGATGTCCAACTAAATAGACGTGTGTAGGGACCTAATAATAACAATGTTAGACTTCCTTAATCCAGGTATTTGTTTCAGATATTGATATGCATTTAAATACATTCTATGTCAAACAACTTTTGACAGTGAACTGTTATGTTGTGAGCTTGGGATTATATCACTGAATATCCACATGGTGGACCCATGAAGTCGGGATTATACCAGTAATATCATAATATCTAAACGGTACTGTAATTAACCTGATAAGTGCAACGTACTTTTCTAATTACAAACATACCAAAGCCAGCGAAAGTGCTGCACTTAATAAAATCAGGAAAGAGTAGCTACGAGCAATGTGTTCAAACATGACACTTTGGTAGATGAAATCACAATTTTAATTTGAACATTTCCTTTCAGCCATATCACTGATATACAGAATACTGAAGACAAGTGTGTGATTTATGGGACTCATCATCTACCTGTGGAACTCACTAAAATATTAAGAACCCATTATATCTTTTTGTGACTGAACTATTTAAAATTTTGGAAATGGTGCTCTGGAAACACATGAAAAATCTTACAAAAATACTGCAAGGTTAAGATTAAAAGTGCTGACTATTGGGTTAGCAGAAAAGTTAAGTGTATCCGATCTTTTCTGGAAAAGATAGATGTATGTTTTATAGGAGCAAGCACACTTTTTTGGTATAATGTGGTACATACACAGCACATGAATATGAAATTCCTATATGCATGACATCAGACAGACTTATACTGGTAAGGTCAAGGCCTCCAGGAACACTGAGGACAGGTCTCTGTACAGTATAACTCAGGTGTACTAGAAAACACCAGACTATATGTACAATCTGGTATTTGTGATTTCATTACATACTTCTCCAGTGGAAATACCTTATAATATCACAGGGACTTAGAATGTGATGTTTGAAAGGGTGTGTTTCTGTGTGCATCATTATACATATTAAAATGTGATCATACCAGTAGTAAATTATCAACTTTTAAATCATAGGAAGGACTTAAACAGACTTAACACTGACCATTGTGTAATATGGATGTTTTGAACCCAGTTCATATTTTTTACATCCTCCCATCCAAGCAAAACCAAGCACATATACACTTTATATATATAAACCGAGTCCTAATTTCATTAATTTTTTTATGAGAGTATGATCAAAGGTACTTCCTTACACATGGACACAATGTTTTCTTATATGAATTGGTCATACAAAATTTACTTCCTACTTGTATACTTATAAAACAGCAATAGCTATTAAAACATTGAAACTAAACTAAGCTACTGTATATATATATATACATTTTGAGAGTAATTTCCTTCATATTTAATGTGCAGTCCTTGTTTTTTGTACTTTATTAGTTTATCAATCTTAACATCAGAGCATGTAGCTTTTTGAACTCTATATTTATCATAATCAATTACTATTGAAAAGTTTAATACATAATATATATCATTTAAGATCTTTCTGGATTTTTTTGAAGTTACTCAAACTGATATATATATGTATTCATCTAACATGTAATGACATTGCAAATCATATCATGAGTGATCACTGTAGATATAAATATGTACAGAAAACTGAGCGCATCGTAGTGGAGTAAAAGTATCTGATAAATGTATATGTTACAAGCCAATAACCACAGAAGGAACGTCAAGTATATGGTGGATTGACTAGAGAAGAGGGATGGGACCAATACATAGAACGTTATTTCCCTTTAGCTATACAAACTATCTTTTCTGTGAAATATAGTTTATGTAGATATAAATAACTGAATTACAAGTTAAATAAAAAGTCTACAATAAAAACATAAAGATGTTTAAATCATGCAAAACTTGACATGGCCTAAGTGGGAAGTCTTGTATATCCTTGTCAACATACAATTAGCCAATCACCAGTCAACAGCAGCCTGTGTGTATGTATATATACGGCATGTAGTAGGATGTGTATGTAGCCTGCATAATGCGTACAAAACTTTATAATCATTATGTACAAATATATTACTGATATAAATGTAAACAGAGAGAAATTGAGTTACAGCTCCTCTTCTGTCTCCCAAAAAATTATACCTCTTTACAGACCAAATATCTGTAAATAAAATTTTTTTAAGAGAAAGGAGAGAACTAATGCCCTGGTTGTCTTTGGTCATCGATCATGAAGAAATTAAGAACCATAATTTATGTATGGGAGACCACAAACTCCAACATATTTATGACATTTTTTTTCGCAATATGACAGTATTGGTAAAAGCACTGTAATTATGATCTAGAGTAATATTTTTTTAAAATTGGTATATTCAGGAACATTCACCATGTCAAGGATAAAGATCACTGTTTGTGAAAATGACAATTAAAAGATTAACTGTCAAACCTCTTTCATATGACCCTGTAATCCTGCTTAGGAAATGTTCAGTAGTTTTAAAATACAATCAAAAGTTAAATAACCTTCAATTCTGAAGTCTTATATATGTCATGTCATGTCAATCAACTCCCCAATATAGGACTACATTCTATATTATTCCTATTTGTATATTGTATTTTTTCTTTATAAACTTTTATAGATCGCCAATGATGATATAGTAATGAGAACTCCTTGCATGTTGCAGACAATGGTTTAACAGTACATACACACACATAAAAATTTAACCAATACAAATATACATTACATAGCTACCTGCTTTCAAACTATACAGCAGCATCCGTTGCTTTCCTTGACTGGACTAGTGTTCATCTCCCGTACAATTTCTATGAAAACTTCATTGACATTTTGAGTATTTTTGGCCGAAGTTTCTAAGAAGGGACATCCCCATATTTGAGCTAATGTTGCACCTTCCTTTGACGGTACCTCCCTTTGGTGTTCCAAGTCGGCTTTATTTCCCACTAATATCATTGGAATATTTTCAATCCCTTTTACACGCATAATTTGTTCTTTCATGGATTTGATATCTTGGAAAGTTTGTAAGCTTGTTATACTGTACACAATAACGAATCCTTGTCCGTTCTTTATATACAAATCCCTCATTGATGCGAACTGTTCAGTTCCAGCAGTGTCAAGGATTTCCAAAACTGAAGGAGCAGAATCCACTTCAATTTCTTTCCTGTAAAAGTCTTCAATCGTGGGGTCATATTTCTCCATAAATGTTCCCGAAACAAACTTGACTGTCAGTGCACTTTTACCAACCCCACCACTCCCCAAAACGACTACTTTATACTCTCTCATTGTTCTCGATCAATTTTCAAACTTTTTTTAAGTAGTCAGCAATATTGGCAGCCAAATTTCTAATATTTCAAGAACACCTTTCAATGATAACTCAATATTTTGATGTTTTTACTGTATCGCCTACAGTTAACTAAAAACAACGACATCAGACAATGGGATAGACAGGACAATCCCAAAATCTGACGTTTTCAGACAAAAAAACTCGGAAGATGATGAACTAGTCCCCTGCATTCATATCATATTTTCTCCGCCATCATGTTAAAATATGAAGAAAGACAAAAGCCATTTGCCTGGAAAGAAACAAACAAAGAATATGAATAAACAAAAGAGAAATTTTGTTTGTGTAAAGATACAAACACATCAATAGAAAATGTCAAAATCGCTAACCTTCTCGCCATTTTGGGTGGGCTCTGCGGATTTTTACCTTCTGGAGAAGATTTCGGCTAGGAACGACAACTCCAACATGCCCAGAGCGGTCAAGACAGAAAGTAGGTCAGCTACTTACGTATGCTTATGTAATGTTTCGGTGACAGAATGACGCAAGCAGCTGAACACTCATGGACATTTGTGTACATGCACATGACATTTCAAATTATTGATATATCATCAGATAAATATAGATAAATATATTCATAAATTATCTTTCACTGGAAGATACATTTTGCACGTCTGTAATGCAGTATTGTTTCCAGCTGTTTTTAATAGCCAAATTATGGAGGATTACTGACTTCCCATAAAAACGATCGTTAGTCTTTGAATTAAAAATACACTGTAATCATATCATCTAATCAGAATTTACATTAACGTATGTATATGTGCATATTTCTCGGTACAAATGCCCCAAACTATTACATAGCTATAGAGATATAAAATGTAGAGCAGTCGTACCAAAACTCCAGCGGCCCCAATGCCCTTGTCTAACTGTTTCCACACCGAGTATAACTCGGTTTGTCTCAGGTTGTATAGCGAGCATCTGGCAACAAGATCGTTAACACGCGGCAATAATGCATAACTTCAGATATTCAGTGTGCAAGTTCTATATCACAGGAAATGTAGGATAATTAATCACAGTCATTTTGTAATACGGGTTCGAGATTGAAAAATTGTTCAACGTTTGATTATAATTTATACCAAATCATTATTTTCAAGAATTTCATGCTAAAACAGCTACAATAGCAAGTCATTCTTAATTTTTTTGTTATTTTTATCAAATCACCGATAATTCTAATAATCGGGCTAAAATAATGATTACCCGCTCCTCAAATAATAACTGGCAAATGTGATGAGATATAAATTTTTTTCCGAGTCATTTTAAGAGTTTCTATTACATTGTCCTCTACCTACTATTAAAAGTGTATGCAATTTACACGGCCGCTTCATTTCATATGAAGGAACCACGAAATGCAATAATATTTCGTTTACCTCCATTCTCGAAGAGTTCCAACAAAATTACATCGTGATGAAAAATTAGATCGGATCTCAGGGACAAAAATCCTCTGTATGCACAAATAGTTCTGCGCGAAGTCCCATTGTAACACGTAATCCATTCATGTAGTAGTTTGCTATACTGGGATGATCGATCACTGACTCTAAAATGATAACAAAGAAAGAGTTGTCTCCCTTCAATCGTAGCGTTTGACATCGCTAACTGTATCATTCTTAATGAGTTTTTAAATCTATTATTTTCTGTGCCTGCATCTCCATGTATGATGCATTTGGACTACATATTGTTTGGCGCTCATCAGACAACAATCCTTATACTTATAATGTTAAAACAAATAGATCCCGATTTAAAAGCCTCGTCAACAGAAATAAGTTACGTCATATACTGAACAATAGCTCGTCCGCTGAAACGCCGTAAAAGTGTACGTAAAACCCGTTAAATAGATTATTTGGATTATTACTATTATCAATACAGTCTTAACGGCCCGTCAACACATAAAAGGTCATTAGGGCCATCAATCGATGTAATACACAGCGATCCAAATAAGGAAATCACATCAAACAAACTAAAAGGTAAAAGACAAATGCTAAAAATCTAAAATGGTTATATTATCACAAAAATATTAAAATTGTAATTCATAGTCTGTAATATAGACCAACATCTTTCAGATAACATAGAATTTTACAAATCTCAACAGTTTCAAAAAGGGTCTTTAGACTTGTAACGGGTCAATGCAGTCCAATAAAAAATGTTTAACGGTGAATGGCTCATCATATCCTGCGCACCAAGGATTACCTTCGCCTTTCAACCATGGCCACGGCAACTTTATTATCATTACGTTTTAAACCATCAGTATATAAATACAGAAATGGTTTATATTTTAACAGCAATTTCGAGAAGGATGAACGAAAGGTGCAGCTGTCAGTGTCTGATTTAACCATTTTATGAAGTGAAAAAGTCAACTTCAGGTGAATTCAAGAGCCAGGGTGGAATTTCTATCGTTCCAAATGACTGGATTTAGTCCATATCATTATCTGTGTGTTTTGGAAAGAGCGGAAATCCTAATACCGAATGGTGGAATGGTCTTTTGTTTGTTTTTGAAACATTTTTTTTATATTTTGGATCAAATACAAGTGAAAAGGCAGGGTTTGAAGGATTTGACTTTAGCTGAATGGTGTATTGCAAAGCCAATTTATTTCGACGACTATATAGTGATGATTCGTTGGCCTCTACACAGAGGCTTGCTGTAGGTGAGAGCGAGCCTTAGACCCTGGTGATGAACAGTGTCAATGATTTGCGATGTTAAGGTCTAGCGGATCCATACACAATGGAACCACAGTCTGATTTTTATCTAATAAGAGTTCTATAAAGTCTTAGCAAAATTTTGCTATGAGCTCCCCAACCAGTGTGGGACACCAGCTTTAGAATATTTAGTGCCTTTGGGTAAACCACAAAGAAATATATTTGGATCGTCGTGTTGTTTCTGCGTTTGACAATAATGCATACAAACGTTTTTTTTTATTGTGAAAATTTAAATCCATTTCCATCTGCCTAAATTTGTAGCCGATTCAAACATTGTTGTAGTTGTCTTTCGTTGGTATTCATATGCTTCTAGGTTCAGCTCAGACGTAAATAGTTTATACAATTTTTTTCAACAGAACTTGACCAGGTTAGTATACATTGATCGTATTGTCTTTGTTTAATGAGATTTTTTAACCAGTTGATATTAAAAATGTCTGGCTATACCATACATCACCCATACCACATTTATCTAATATAGTCCCAATAAACTGTAACCGGGGACTCTGACAATCACTAGAATAATTATAATGTAATAAAAAATTATAGAGAACATGAGTTGTTGGCGCTGCCTCTTTTGTTTGTCTGACAACGCGACGTAACTTAAATTTTGATTTCTAAGATGTTTTTGTCTTGAAGATTACTAGAGGAACCCACCATACACTCAGTATTTTAAGTATGACAAAAGAAAATACGGACTTTACTGCCAGAGTCGTACCTTGTATAAAACACGCGCTTGATGGATCTTTTTCTCACACTTTACAGTAATGCAGACAATTCCTTGGATACATAAATCTAATGTCGTGTAAGAATATAGACCTAAGTATTGTAAAACGTGCAACGAACTTACAACATCCACCGTACTGTATTTATTTCAATATATTTTATCGTCAACTGAAAACATAGGGTGAGACACAAATTATAACTAATTATCATCGCCTTCTCCTAGCAATAACAATAACAACGTGAATGGATTTCATAGTACCAATAATAACAAAGATGTCGAAATACTTCAGTAGTTATAAACTTGATAATTTTCTTTTTTTTTTTTTTTTTACGAATGCATGCAACTTAGGGTTTTTATGTCAAGGTCCACGGTAAGTTGTGAATTTCCGAACAAAAAGGCTTCTACATCGAGTTCTACGAGCGTACCAAATGAAAAGAATTTTCTCGCATTACAGACATTCTAGAAAAAAGTGAAAGCTATTCTCACAAGGATTAGTAAGGTTACTTCTCTAAAAAGATCATAATTAAGAGAACTACACCGATGTCTGACGGTTTTTTTGTGCGGAATATTTTATTTTCCGTCGTGCATGGAAGGGGTTATGATAATGTTTGGAAATATCTAGAGACGGTATTAACCAAACAGTGGTTGGTAGTAGAGAAGTTTTGTAAGAGGAAGTTGAAGTGCCGTAGACAAACTTTAACATAGTATGCAAACGGCCTAACAGGACAACCGTTCTGTAGGCAACATACAGTCTGTGGAAGTAGAACTGTGTAGGTACAGTATAATCAGTGGTGATAGTTCACGTACAAGTGTAATAGATAACAAGAACATTTTTTCCTTGTTTTATAACAAGTATTAATAATCCTATACTGTCATATAACGAAGACAACTGTTCATTAGTGTCTTGTAACACGTAAGCTTGTTACCTAGGAATCACTGATTATCGCTTGGGGTTTTGAACACGGATGCTTATGCTATTGAGAATCTATAAATCAGAGATGCCATATACCATGCTAGTACGGAGTACTAAAAAGTATTTGTGTAGCCGCCATTTTACCTGTGTCTCTGTTATCTTTCAGCTCTCGAGATGAGGAAGGAGTTACCTATTCTTGCCTACGGCTCAGCAGACGCTAAGGATTGTTTATTAGAAACGTTCAAAACCTTTGGAAAGCATTCATGAAAACACCTTTTTCTGATAGACTGATACAAATCCTAAATTAGAAGTATTCTCGCTCTACTTGTCTTCCTATGGACAGGTGTATTCAAGCTTTACCGGGGTGATTTTCTTGTCATACTCTAGACGTCACAGTAACAATTCAATGACGTCATATTTTCAATGTCAACCATTGAGATGATACAGAATTGCATTATGAAAGGGCTCGAACAGTAATATTGGGAGTAAGATAGAATTTTTCATCCCTTTGGCGGTGAGATGGGGGATCTTCACCCGAGGGTAAAGATAATTAAGACAAGAGAGAGGGAGGGGGGGACAGGGAGGGAGAGAGAAAGAGAGGGAGAGAGATAGAGAGAGGGGGGAGGGAGATATTCTTTATTTCCTCTTTTTATAAGAGATCATTTAAAAGAAGCTTGATACTTTTGGCCACAGTCACCATAAGGTCATCCATCCCATTCAGTGTCGTCTAACCTCAATTTCGTACGATATCCCAACAGGAAGCTGGTTCATCTAAAGCAGAAAACTCAACATTGGCATAAACATTTAAAGAGTCTTACACCTTCTCTAAGAAAATATCTCTACTTTGAAAAAGCACGGGACATTCAATAATGAAGTGTTGTACAATGTCGTCACTTTTCTTTGAACATAGCTTACATATTACTTCCTGTTCTACCCAAGTAAACGATAATTTTAGTAGACCGACGAGATCCCACATAAACTGGCCATGACTCAGAAACAGCAATGGATTGGGGCCATCTGTCCTATGAAT